ATATATATATATATATATATATATGTATACATATAAAATTTAAAACCCGTACTCTATATAAAAACCACTTCTAATAATAAAAAATTTTGATACAACGACCTTTACCAATTAGATTGCACGTATGTAATATGCATATTTATAAACACTTTCAAAGATTTTCATTGTACTATGTACTATTATTCCTACATTTTATTTTATTTTATATGTGCGCTTTGAAATTATCATTACATCGCGCCTTGAAATCATGTGCGCTTTGAAATCATTTTATATGTGCGCTTTATCTCTAACATTACATACTACACCTTTAAAATCATGCACTTCGTCATCTATGTACAATCTAATACTTACGTGCAACTACAAATATACGCAATTTTCACAGAACGACTCAATTTATCGATATTATAATTAAACGAGATAAGCAAGTGATGGATGAAATGAGTAATGAGCAGGTAAAAATTTAGAATTTATAATTTTATAATTTTACAACTTTTCTATTTCTTCTACTTTCTTATTTTCGGTCTTCCATTTCCTTTATTTCTTTCTGTTTTCTATCTCTTTTATTCTAATTAATTTCTGTACCTCACTAAATTATTTTGTTGCCGCAATCGTCGTACTGACGAGGTCCAATTGTGGTAACGGTAAGAAATGTATATGACTTAATGGATCGAAACGTTTTTTTCTATGACGAATATTTCCTCAGTCACCTTTTCCATCTTACTACCCTCTCCCTCGCTTTCTTTGTTTTCTTTCCTTCTTGATTTTTCTCTTCAACCTTTGATTGACTGTATGCGTGTATGTGTGTGTGTGTGTGTGTGTGTGTGCTCCGCGTCTGTGTGTTCGCACTTTTTGTTATTCACTTTCAACTCGAGAACCAGAGAAGCTAGGAAGCTGAAACTTTGGGAGTATGCACTGACCCCATACGCGACCTTCTCATTTTGGTGTCATCACCCCCGTATGCTTGGATTTCACGTGGACGCCTAAAAGAAAATATGTAAATTGTTTGGCAGGAAAGCGATTTCGAGAACTAAACAGAACGCTAAAATCCCTTACAGATATCCTATATCCCTATGTAAGCTAAAGATTTCAAACAAATCACGCTTACATCTCGTGTAAGGTTATGTCAGCTGAAATTTCGTAATCGTTGGCAAGATGTCAATTCAGGACTAAGTTGATTAGAGCGTTCTAATTTTGTGGGAACATTTATTTGAAATTGGCTTAGAGACACAAAATGTACTTTGGCACACGTCTGAGGCGAACTCTGATGCATGAAAAATTCCGACAACCAGAAGTGCCAGGGAGTTGAGGCTTTACGAAGATATTCTACGCTCATATACGACCGAAATTCAAACTTTAAACCATGCCTAGATCTTGCGTGCACCCCGAGCGAATGTGTAGTTCTGGACACCGTTGGCACCATTATAACTCGACAAGCAGTATGTGCAGGAAGCAGCATTTTGCTGAGGACGTTTACTGTTCACGTGCGGGGCACAAGTCGTGAAATGAACTTCTATCTAGTACAAATTCAGCATACAGGCTCATCAAATAATCGAACTGCAACACCACAGTTATATTCCGGCAGTGCCGGCGATCTTTCTAAGGATTATTTAAAAACGCATGATCGCACCTGCAAGCCTGATGCGTTGGTAGCTGGGGCTAAAAAAAAACTGCGTTGGTGACTGAAAGCATTTTAGCTAACTGGATATTCCTTGCTAATTTGCCCTACTTATTCGTTAGAGCATAAAACAGTACCAATTCCAGCTTAGCTCCTTATACTCGGGTAACCGTTACTGGATAATGGCTGTCGATGATGGATGACATTTCGCGTACGTGAAGATGGTCGCTGCACCTCGACCAATCGGGCACTTCCGCGGTCCGACACCGATGCGCGATCGAGCGGAATGCGTGTTAGTCGGCGTGGAGCAGCAACAGGTAATTGCTGAAGTTGCTGCTGGTGACGGTGCTGGGAAGGTGTTGGAGTTCGAGTGGGGCGCGAAGCAAGAATTCGCTGCTGTTGGCGAATGTATTCCGAAATGTCACGTGGTGAGCGCATAAGTGGGACTCGATCTGGAGTTTTGCGGCCTTGCTGCTGGTGTTGCTCAGGACGAGGACTGATGCCGGGGCGAGCGGCTCGACTGGTTTGGTTACTCCGCTCGCGCTGGTCAATTCGACGCAGTAGTGAGCCACCAGACGGAGCTCCTTGCCGTTCGTATCGTCGCTGTTAAACAGATTGAATTTCTGTGTTATCATTTCGAAAAATATTGCAAAATTTGGAATTCTGCTCAAAAATAATAGCAGAGGGAATTTGTGGACAATGCAAATTTCTGTTGTACTTTGTTACGAATCAGATTTTGGTGCTTTAACACTCTTCAAATCTGAAGTCCAGCAAATCCGTTCTTCCACGATGGAGGAATTAGGATGCTGCTATTTCATACTTCTAACAGGGGCTTTTCTGAGCAAAATTTTTAAAAACTTTAACAATCATCACAAAAAAACAACTTTTACTCATCAAATCGTTTTTGAATTTTGTTTTGAAAAATTGAAAAACTCTGACGCTACACATTGGCAAGTATGGAGCTGTTATAAGTGGCGCTGTTGTCATGCTGAAGTTCGGTTTTTCAGAGCGAGTTTGAATTTATTTTCTATTGCAGCAGAAATTTAAGGCATTTAGAAATTCTTGGTTTCGAAATGCCCAAAATGACCGTAGCATTCGAGAAATGAAAATCGTAATTTCAATTTCTGCTGTATCCGGAAACTTTTTTGATTACCGCAAAAAAATAAAATTTTTCTAAAACTGCAGCTTCCCCTCAAAAAAAAAATTTCAGGCCATGAAATTGCGAAGACATACCGAATGAGCTCGATGACCACTGTCAGTAGTAGTAGTATCAGTGCGAGTGGAAGACGGTGAAAGTTGCTGTTGTCGCAGAAACTGCAAAAGCAACATCATCGTCTTAGCAGCGAATTTGTCTGATCCGAATGGGGCTCAGGATAAGCCAAATATTTGGACGAAGCTGGTACGAAAAGAATGCTATTTTGATTGGCAAAACATGTGCAGTGGCGTTTTATAGGCTCTCTTAATGATTAGAAAAGCATCCTGGAATTGCCTCCGTCTTCCTGCCAACATTCAAAATGTCAGCATCTGGCAATCTACCGATTACAGCATAAAGCTTCACTTCTAGCGTGATTTATCGTCTTCCCTAAACGTGAGCTCCAAATCTTTTCATTTTTTGATTTTTTTTTTTTTGCTTCAAGAAGCACTTTTGCCTCTTTTTGCCTTCTTTTGCTGTTTTACCTTGCC